CAGTCCCATCTGTGGGGCCTTCAATTGGGTTTTGGAATCACTCGGGAAGGAGGAAGCCAAGAAGGAGAGAGAGAGAAAGAGAGAGAGAGAGAGAGAGAGAGAGAGAGGGAGAGAGAGGGAGGGAGGGAGGGAGGGAGAGAGAGAGAAAAGAGCTTTTGGTCATTATTTGATTCGCGCTGAATAATTCTCTCCGGTGGAAAGGGAGCTATTTTAATCTGGCGAGAGACATCTTTCGACAGAGGCCAACTGAGGTATAGCTTTAGAAAAAAGGCAGCCGATGCTAGCTGACATCCAGCCTTTCGGTTCTGCCCTTCTCATTCTGTCAGCCCAACCAGTCTGCAGTCCTAAAATTGCTTGCCCTCGAATCGTCTCTTCCAACCAAATTTTAGGACATGTGGACTGCAATTCCTAGAATTCCCCAGCTCGCATGCTATCCAGCTGTAAGATGTGTGGACTTCAACTCCCAGAATTCCCCAGGCATCATGCTATGGAGGTTTAGCTCCCAGAATTCCACAACCAGGATGCTATGGAACTTTATGATTTGTGGGTTTTAATGACCAGGTGTGATGACCCAAGGGCATGGCACAAAGGCAACACAGTCAAATAAGCAAGGAGAATCCTGTTAGTACTTCCAGTTTTGCCCCCAATGTCTAGATTACCTTCAGCTGGAGAAAAACTCTCCCTTTGACTGTAGAAAATTCAGTCCAAAACAAGGCACACACAAACTGTAACTTAAAATCCGAACAAACCAAACTGAAGTAATTAGCTTGACAGGGCAGGAGAAGGAATTTCAGACTTGAAAGCAGAGCAAAATTCACACAGTTGGAAAGACACCAGGAACACAGATAAGCCTCGATGATACCAGATAAATTCATGTTTGCTCCCAACAGCTTGCTGTGTGCAGCTTCCTTTTTTATACACTGTGTTCCCAGCTGCAGCTAATGAAGGGAATCAGGGCCTTTTCCTTCCCCGTAAGCCATGCAATCCATGTTGCTCCCTTCTCCATTCCTCCCTGCATGGCCTAGGATGAAGAGGGGGTGGGCCTGGGTCTTCCTCTGAACTCCCTCTCCCTTGTTCTACTTCTCCCCTGCTCTGCCCAGATGGACTTTGCCCTTCCCCAGTTTCTTCCACAGCCAACGGAGCCACACTCCCTCTCCCTGTCAGCTGTTCGGCTTCCTCCTCCGAGTCAGATTCCGGCAGGGGCATGACACCAGGTTACTAACTTATCAACTGCAGTGATTCGCTTAACTTTGGCAAGTAGGGACAAAATTCACTGAACAAATCTCTCACTTAGCAACAGAAATGTTGGGCTCCGTTGTGGTCATAACTGGAGAACTACCTGTACTGGTCACCTGGAGGAAACCCAGTACACCAATTCTAGGTATTCACTGTGCAGTTTTGACTTTGTCTCTCTGTCCCCTTGACAAGTAAAATCGCAAAAAGCAAAGATTTCACCAGCAGCCTCTTTTTCAACTCCCTGTGGAAGGTTTCAGTCCGTAGGAGCTGTTCATTTGTGACAAAATTGTCTTTCATTTTACTGAACATCAAGAGAGCAAGCCTGAATTTCTCCCCCCCCCCTTTTTTTTTAATAAATACACACTATGGGGAACTCAAGTTGATTTAGTTCTGCGTCTTCACCCGATTATGATCTAACTCAGCCATTGGGGACAAAACAGTTGTAAAGTATATGGTAGTTAATGACAATGCATAAAATATTAGTACTAATAAATAAATAAAGGCAGCTCCCTCCTGATGAGTTCAGTTCCTGGGGAGTTAATAAAAAACATCCATATTGCAGACTATTAATTTCATTTTTTTTTTCCTGAGGGGCAGGATGTGGAAGGCTGATTTGCGATCTGTTTAATAAGCAACACTCCTGACAGGAGATTTGTCTTATAAAATGATACTTAAGATCCTTTAAAAGGCGCTGTTTTGAAAGGAGAGTGGACACCCCCCCAAATGCCACCCCCCCACCCCAAGATGACCAATCACAATTGTGTGATCAAAAGCCCTTTGCACGATGCAAAACATCCATACAAAACGATGTGTCATAGACTTTGAGAATAACCTTAAAGAACAGAAGGAAGAGAGAGACACAGCTAGGATAAGTTAAGAGAAAAGAAATTTGAGTCCGGTGCCAGAAATGTAATTTGAGAAAGCATCTCAAGGAACCCACCCTAGTTTCCTGGGAGATAAGAGGAGGGGGGGTGTATTCAGTCTTGCAAGATGTTGTTATTGTAACTTGATAACAAAAACAGTAATAGCATTTTAACTTTTGTTTCCTAGTTTGACGTGTTGACAGGATTATACCTCCTTTGTGTAACCTCAACGGCCCTCTTGATTTTTTTTTGACCCTCTTCTTTTGACCCTTAACTCTTCCAATAAAAGTATTTACAAAGACCCGGATGGCCTTCCTAATTTTTCCTTCCATATTATCCTTGAGAAAAAGGGACGCTTGGGTTCTCAGCTCGACCAAGCTAAATATTGAAACATTAGGAGCCAATCAACTCAAAAGCCATTTTTTTGAACCCATAGCATTCCAAAGGCTGATGAAAGCAAATTAATAGCAGCCTTTTTATAAGCCGAGGTACTGGAAAGTGTTTTAAGAAATGTGTATTCTCTATTTCACTCTTGCTGACACCAAGCTCACAAGTTTCTTAAAAAGTTTCAATGTCGATCTTATCAACTTGATCGACGGAGCTTCTGTAGGGTTGCAGACAGAAATATTTTCTCCCCTCATACCTGAGACCCTTAACCCTTTGTATCCGGAGAGGAGCGGGCTTGGGTTTGCAGTCTTTTGCAAGGCAGAATTGTTTAGCTTTATAGAATCTTTCCCAAATTCTTATACCAAATCTGACTGCTCTAAAACCATCTCACAGAGGCTTTCTTTCCAACCCCTCTCGATGGTGTGTTGGGCATAGAACCACAAATCATTTCCATCAGGTTGGCTGGGACTTATTTTATGTGAGTTGTAATCCCCGCTCAACCTGCGAAGACCCGGTGAATAAAATTTTCTGCAAAAAACCCTGACTGGAAACAAGGGGTCTACTAATAATATGAGGGCAGACCACCATCTAGTGGCACTAAGATGAATTACGGGCAACTTGGTTCAGTTAATCTAGAAGTTTGATTGCCTCTTTTCCAACGGACAAGATTTTATTTTTTTTAAAAAAAAAAGCTTTGGGAACTTAACATCAGTTGGGAACTTACATCAGAGGTAACGTCTCTCCATACATTTGAAGTTGCTCTTGAAAGCTGGTGCCTTTTTTTTTACAAGTGTCAGTCAGAAGAGAGGCAACGGGACTCATGGTTTATTTATCCACACAACTCTCTGGCAGGCTGAAGTGTGTGTGTGAAGGGCTTCCTTCCTCTCCCAAGGAGGAAGACATCTTGGGATTTAGGTTCATGGTGTTTTTTTAGCTGGGGAGGCAGCCATTTTTTTTCTTTATCCTCGAATGATATAACCAGGTATTTCCTTCTCTGTTGACTTACCTACCATCTACCCTGCGCAGTGGTTAGAACACAGTATATTGAAGCCAAACTCTGCCCACTGCCAGCAGTTCGATCCTAACTGGCTCAAGGGTGGACTCAGCCTTCCCTCCTTCCAAGGTAGGTAAAAGAACCCAAATTGTTGGGAGCAAGATATTGACTCTGTAAACCGCTTAGAAAGGGCTGTAGAGCGCTGCAAAAACAGTATATATAGTCCTAAGGGCTGTTGCTATTGCTATCTCAACCCTGCGTGGTTTCCAAGATACAAGAACAAAAGGCTGAACATTCTGCTTTGCGAGCGGAATTCACCATCTATTTCAGAAGATTTCTTGACAATTAAAAAGCCCTACCCTGTTGTGGTCTGCCGGCAGCCTGCGGAGACAGCAGCAGAGTCAGAAAGTGGGGAAGAACACGGGCCAGTCCTGGTCTGGAGAGAACTTGGAGGGTCCTGCATCCGATGCAGAGATAGCGCCTGGGCCATCTGGGAGTTGTGCTGCTGACTCCGGAGTCTCCAGAATCTGACAGCAGCGAGGCAGAGGAGTAAGGGGAGCCTGTTCCCAGTGCGCATGTGCACAGAGCTGCCAGAAGGCAAGAGAAGTTAAGACAAAAGGGGCGACTCGGGAGTAAGGCTTGGAAATGATTTCCCCTTCCATAAGATATAAAGGAAGCGCAAAGGGACAGGAGTCTTTGCAGGAAGCAACGTTGTTTGCTCTGGTTGGTTTAAAAGCTTCATGGTGAATTTGTGCTCCGCTTGGTTTTGAAAGACTTAATCGGTCCTTTAGTCATTGGCAGCACTTCAAGTAAGATAAAGGTGCACTCTTATCAGACTTCTCCCGAAGAACTTTGGCAGACGACTATTTGTAACCGGTTGAGACTCATTATGGGCTGTGAATGACGATAATTCACAGCTGTTGAACTAAAATAAAAGGGTTTTGGATTTAACGTGTGTTTGTTGGTATCTCAGGAAGCCTCGGTCAGAACATACCCACTCAAGGAAAGATTTATTATTTTGTTTGAAGGAAAAGAATAACGACTAAGCTAAATACACTATTGAAATACAGGTAGTCCTCAACTCATGACTCCAATGGAGCCCAAAATTTCTGTTAAGTGAGACATTTGTTAAGTGAATTTTGCCCCTTTTTATGACCTTTCTTGCCTCCGTTGTTAAGTGAATCACTAGAGTTGATAAATTAATAACCCAGTGGTTAAGTGACTCCAGCTTCCAACTGACTTCACTTTACAACACTGCAACCGTCATAAATACGTACTCTTGCCAAGCGCCTAAATTTTGATCCTGAGACCGTGGGGGAACGCTGCCACGGTTGTGCATTAAAAACGGTCACAAGTCCCTTTTCCCAGGGCCGTTGTAACTTTGAGTGAACTGATGTAAGTCGAGGACTACCTACAAAAGCCTCCCTCCTTTTTTTTTACAAACCCGATTTAAAAAAAAAAGAAAAGTTTAGAGACGAGACCACGAAATTACATCTTCATATGGAGATGTGGGTTTTTTTTTTTCCTTTTCTTTTAATGCAGCTTAATCTCACAGTTGGCAGCATAATATGAGCATAAAGACACAACTGGGAAGGGATTCTGGAGGCAGCATGCAAACACTGTTTGAAGCAAGAACTAAAAGAAACAAAACGAAACAAAAACCCTATCCAAACCCCTTTCCTGGGTGGCTCTGCGGTGGATTTTTGTGTGTGTGTGTGTGTGAGAAGAAACACCGCCTTGGTTTGGTCAAGACCTGATTCAGGTAAGGCAGGGTTCCCCTGTGCACACAGGTGTTTCTTCTTTTTTTAAAAAAAAAAAGAAAAAAAACCAAACAAATCCCATTTTATTCATGACATTAAAAAAATAAGATCTGTAACTTGAGTAAAAAAAAAAAAAACCAGCCAAACAGCGGATTTCTGGTGCAGTTTGAAACCTATTAATCGACCTCACGATTAAACCTTAATCGTGTTTTTTTTCTCCTTAAAAAACAAAACAAAACTGAATATTATTATTTTTTTTTTTAAAAAAGGAACAAAAACCAATTCTCTCTCTCTCTAAAAAAAAAAGGGCCTATTCAGAAAGAAGAGGATACTAGACTGTGAATTCCAGCGCTTTGGAGAAAGTTAAAGAAAGTCTCTTTCTTCCCCCACCGCCAAGAAAATCGGCACCTTTTAATAGCTGTCCTACCATTTCCCACCATGCTTTCTTTTTTATTTTTTTTGGCATGGTCCGTCCTTCTTAAGTTTCCCTACGAAACAAGAACCTGTACATGTTTGGTTCCAGAGGGAGGCTGAAAAAAAGGTGGGTGGGAAGAAGGAAGTGGGGAGGAATGAAAGGAGAGAGCGGAGTCCACAAAGAAGAAATGAGGGACTCAACAACGTTGGAAAAGAACATGCAACTAAAATATGAATACGATGGACCCTGGCGACGAGACAGATTTTCGTTTGCTTGTTTTTAAAGGACAGGAAGGAGAAGTGAACACCTCTGGGTTGGTTCCCGCGTGTCCATCTTCAGGTGGTCCAGCTGAGAGAGGCTCCCTTGGTCAAGAAGGGGGGGGGATAGGCTCCCCACCTACCCACCGGGCCCCTGGGGAGCGGTCCAAGGTCCTTAGGTTTCTCTTTAAAAGACAGTGTAGAAATTTGGATTCCTGGAAAAAAAAACCAACCCAACCACCTGCTTCGCTTGAGGGGGCAGAAGGGGGGGAAAGGGGGAGGAGTTTCTTCGCCTGGCCTCGCCCCTGAGGCCTGTGCCCAGGGGAGAGGGCGGGGGAGGGCGTGTCCGAAAGAAGCCCCGCCCTTCCGGTCGGCTTCACAGGTAGAGCTCGCTGGCTTTGATATGCTCTAGCTGTTCCCGTAATTGGTGGAAGGACGGCCGGTGGGCGGCATCCAAAGTCCAGCATTTTTTCATCACCTCGTAGACAATCTGGGGGCAGCCATCCGGAGAGTCCATCTTGTACCCCTTTTCCACACGAGGGACCACGTCCTTCAGAGGCTGCAGGGTGGGGAGGGGGGGGGAGAAAAGAGCGGGGGAGGAAGTAACGCATTTAAGAACAGCTCTGATTAAAAGGAAAAAAAAAACCAGAAATAGCTTTGACTTCGACTAGGAAACCACTTCTGGGCTTTGTGCTTGAGGTGGATAAAGGTGAAACTTTTGACTTTGGGTTTTTGCCTATTAGATAAGATTTGTTCTTACAGAAATGGCTAGTTTCTACCAACCTGCTTCCCACGGAAGACCTGTAGATTGCATGAGCCCAAAAGAGGGCTGCGAAAATATCTACAGACCATGGAAATAAACTGTTTCAACTCCTTCCCTCAAAACAGAGCCCTGCACACCAGAACAACTAGACACAAGGACAGTTTTTTCCCTAAACGCCCTCACTCTGCTAAACAAATAATTCCCTCAACACTGTCCAACTATTTGCAAAGTCTGCACTACTGCTACTGTTAATCTTCTCATCACTCCTTATCACCCCTCCCACTTATGACTGTAACCTTGTTGCTTGAATCCTAACAATTTATATGGACTGTTTCCTAGTATGATTTGATTGTACCTGATGATTCTTGACTCTTGACTGATGTATCTTTTCTTTTACGTGCATTGAGAGCATTTGCACCAAAGACAAATTCCTTGTGTGTCCAATCACACTTGGCCAATAAAGAATTCTATTCTATTCTTTTCCATTCCATTCTATTCTTATTGTACCCTATGACTATCATTAAGTGTTGGACCTGATGACTCTTGACTCATGTATCTTTTCTTTTTTTATGTACACTTAGAGCATTTGCATTGAGACAAATTCCTTGTGTGTCCAATCCCACTTGGTCAATAAAGAATTCCTTCTTTCTTTCTTTCTTTCTTTCTTTCTTTCTTTCTTTCTTTCTTTCTTTCTTTCTTTCTTTCTTTCTTTCTTTCTATCTATCTATCTATCATCTATTTTTCTATTACTATGAAACAGGAAAAAGTTGTGGGTAGATCTTAATTCCTTATTCAACTGCACCAAAGGAGTCAGAAGTCAATACCTTTCCCTCCACTTCCTTCCCCCCCACTGTTCACTCCCCTTTTTCCTTCCCTAATTTCCCTAATTTCCCCTTGATGTGAGCTCAAATGGACTCCGGGGGATGGTAGAGGACAGGAAGGCCTGGAGGGACGTTGTCCTTGGGGTCACAATGGGTCGGACATGACTTCATGACTAACAACATCAACAATCTCCCTAATATTTGCTTTGGTATTCTCTTTGTATGTTATATTATAAACTAGATAGATAGTTAGATAGATAGATAGATAGATAGATAGATAGATAGATAGATAGATAGATAGATAGATGATAGATAGATAGATAGATAGATAGATAGATAGATAGATAGATAGAGATGAGAGAGAGGGAGAGAGATGACAGACAGACAGACAGACAGACAGACAGACAGATAGATAGATAATAGATAGATAGATAGATAGATGAGAGAGAGAGAGAGAGATGAGAGATAGATAGATAGATAGATAGATAGATAGATAGATAGATAGATAATAGATAGATAGATAATAAATAGATAGATAGATAGATAAGATTAGATAGACAGACAGATAGAGATAGAGATGATAGACAGACAGACAAGACAGACAGACATGATATAGATGGATAGACAGACAGACACACAGAGATGATAGAGATGACAGTCAGACATACAGAGATGACAGATAGGTAGACAGACAGACATGATATAGATGGATAGGCAGACAGATGCAGAGATGATAGATAAGATAGACAGACACACAGAGATGATACATAGATAGAGATATAGACTGTGTGTGTGTGTGTGTGTGTGTGTGAGAGAGAGAGAGAGAGAGAGAGAGAGAGCATAGATCCACAGGTGTAAGGTCCAAGCTGACTACTTCATTGTTTACTGCCTATAATACAGGAATCTCCCGACACTGGCAGCTTTTGTAAAGGAACTATCAGATAAGCCGGGGGGGGGGGGGGTCAGGAGCCAAATACTTTGGAGGCCCTTGAAACTTCACTTACAATTCTCGGATAAGGCACTCGCCCAAAGGAATAGATTTCCCAGAGAAGAATTCCGAAGCTCCACACGTCTGATTTGGTTGAAAATTTCTGCCAAGGTTAGAAGAAGACACAGACAGAGAGAGAGAGAGAAAGAGATTGTCAAAAGACCTGGATCGAGCTGGCCAGTTGTTCCGCCACCAGAGTACGTCATCCTTTGTAGAGAACCAATTATCAAATCATAGAATCCTAGGGCTGGAACTTCTAGTTGCTTCTACTTCAATCCCCTGCCCAAGGCAGAAGGTCCTATACCATCCTGAACAAACGGATGTCCAAACTTTTCTTGAAAACCTCCAGTGATGGAGCATCCACCACTCTAGGAGGGAGGATATTCCATTGATTCATCGTTCTCACGGTCAGGTAATTCCTCTTTAGTTCCATGTTGGATCTCCTTCTCAGGAGCTTCCATTGTCCTACCCTCAAATGCTCTGGAGAATAAGTCAATCCAGATTTCCCCGTGGGAGCCCCTCAAGTATTGGAGACAAGCTGTCCTGTCTCCCCTAATCCTTTTCTTCATCAGGCTAAACATCCCTTGTTCCCTTAGCAGTACATCGTACGATTTACACCCCAGATCCCTGGTCATCTTTGCTTGGTCTTAAGAGTATCATGCCACTGTCCGAATCTGACTCGAAGGAGGAAGACGAACAGCTGACAGGGAATGAGAGTGTGGCTCCAACCCAAAGAATATCAAATTGGAATTGGGGATTGTACAGGATTGGGCACTATAAACAGGCAGCCTTAAGACACTGAATTAAGAAATGGGGGTGAACTTGACCAAGCTGCAAGAGGAAAAAGGACTTCAACTTGAAGGAAGAACCAAACCCTGTGTCCTTGTGGACCTTGTCAAGCCCTACCTGGATGAGCCAGGAGTTCGTTGTCAACCCCCCTGAGATGCCTCACTTACCTTTTCTCTAAGTGCTTCTGGTGCTGTCCATTTCACCGGGAGCTTGCCGGTGTCCTGGGTGGACGAAGCTTCCTTGGTCAACCCAAAGTCACTGACTTTAGCAATATTGTCCTCCGAGACCAACACATTCCTCGCCGCCAAGTCCCGGTGAACAAAGTTGTTGGCTTCTAAGTACGCCATAGCTTCGCAGACGTCTCTACGGGCGAGTGAGGAGTGACGTTCAAGAAAAGGCGGGCTACACCACCAAGAAACCGCCATCTCTCCACCATGAAGCTTCAACCACCACCCCATTTTTTTAAGCTACGAACACTCCCCATCCGAGCATTTTCTTCCCCCCAAAAAAGCAACATACTTACAAAGAAAACTTCAACAAACAGTCGCCTCCCAACACAGATCTTCCACGGGAGCGAAGATAGTCGACTAAACTTCCCTGCCAGGAGATTTGAGAGAAAGGATTAAGATGGCCAAGAAGTGATAAGAGAGCCAGTCTGAAACTCAAGGGAATTTCATCTTCAATAAACTGACATTGAAAGGGGTTTTCCCCGCCGTTCTTAACAAGGTTGGAGACAACACAAGACTTTTTTTTTTAGTCTTCTGAAATTTTTAAACTTTGACTTTCTCTTTAAACACGTAAAGGCTAACCTTGTTCTTAATTCGATTTTAAACTATGTTTTTAGCCATGCATTCCAAGGGTTTTTTATTAGGTTGTTGCCAATTGCCCAGAGTCACCTAGGTGGGTATGGGCGGGTGTAGAAATGTCATAAAGAAATAAATACCCTGTCTGAAAATATCCTCCAAAAGGCAGACCAAGAACACCTTCAAATCCCATGAAATTCTGACATCAAACTCGTCCCAAGACTGTACCGCTGATATATCAGCAATATTGATTAAAAAGGGGAATGGCTGAACAAGGCAAGAGTGCAATTAGTGGCACCCCTAAGTAGATGACACTCTCCTCTTTGTGTAGGAAGCAGAAACACACACACACACACACACCCATGTAGGAAAGCAAGGGAGAAAAACCAATACATTTTCAAAACTGCAGCTTACGCCAGTAGTAAATAGCATTTCACTCTGGAAATTAACTGATAGGGGAGGTACAAGGAGGTGAATGGGAGAGGGAGGGAGGGAGGGAGCAAGGAAGGAAGGAAGGAAGGAAGGAAGGGAGG